GGGGGCACTGGTTCAAGGTGAGAAGGGGAAAGTTTAAGGAGATGTGCGAGGGATGTTTTTCAAGCAGAGATTAGTAGGAGCCTGGAATGCACTGCCAGAAGAGGTGGTGTAAGCACCTACCTTGGCCACATTTAAGGTCTGGATGGTTACATGAATAAGAAGGGAATAGAGGGATAGGGACCAAAAAAGGGCAAAAGGTTTGTTTTTTTAGATTAGTTAGGGCATGATATTCGGCACAAGCTTCGAGGGCAGAAGGGTTTGTTCCTCTGCTGTACTTCTCTTTTGTTCTTGTTCAAATGCATGTCGATCTTATCCCTCAGAATCATCTCAGTAATATACCTACCACAGATGTTAATCTTACTGGTCTATGGTTCCCAGGTTTTTCTTTGCAGCCCATCTTGAATAAGGGCATAACATTTGCTACCTTCCAGTCTTTCGGCATCTCACCCATGGCTAATGATGATGCAAATATATCAGCCAGGGCCCCCGCAATTTCTTCTCTGGCCTCTTGCAGGTTTCTTTGATATATCTGGTCAGGACAAGAGATTTATCCACCATCATACATTCTAATACATCCAACATCTCCTCTACTGTGATAGAATCTGTCCCCAAGATATCACCACCGACTTCCCCAAGTTCCCAAGTCTTCACATGCTTCTCCACAGTAAACACTGAGGAGAAACATTCATTGAGGACCTCGTCTTTCTCCTTTAGTTCCACACATACATGTCCACTTTGGTCCTTGATGGTTCCTATTTTCTCTCTCTAGTTATTCTTTTTGCTTTAGTATACCTAAAGAATATCTTTGAATTCACCCTACTCTTCTCAGCCAAAGCTATCTCGTGCCACCTTTTTGCCCCCCTAATTTCCTTCTTCAGGAAACTCTTTCATCCCCTATTTACCTCTAGGGATTCCCTTGATCCCAGCTGCCGGTACTTGAGCCATGACCCTATCCCTGTAACCCTGGATTTCCCATGGCAGGCCACCTAACCTGCACATCTTTGGACTGTGGGAAGAAACTTGAGCACAGGGAGAATGTGCAAACTCCACAATAGTAGGTGGAATCAAACCTGGATCCCTGGTACTTTGAGGCAGCAGTGCTAACCACTGAGCTATTGTGCACATTGTGAATATTAACATTTACAACTGTTTTTAAATATGCCAGCACTATGGAGACGATAGCTAGAAATGGTGATTTTGATGTTCAAACATACTTATCTATCATTTTATGCATGTTAGTAACATCTCCAACAGATTTTAAGAAGTTTGGCAGAAACTGAGATTTTGATATTCCAAGTTACTTATTCTAATGGCTTTATGCACTTTACTATTATCTACAACAAATTTTAAGAAGTTTGTTAGAACTCACGATGTTAATGTGCAAAGACGCTGACATCACTGAGTTATTCACTTCAGTGGCATCTACAACAGATTTTAAAAAGTTTGATAAAGTTGGAGATTAGTGTGTGCCTCAATGAGTTGTGCATTTCAGTAACATCTCCAATAGCTTTTATGAACGTGTAAGCATTTTGGTTAAGTTAGCTAAAAATGGTGATAGAGATGTTCAAACCTGCTTATCTAAATGATTTGTGCACTTTAGTAGCAGTTATAATAGACATTTGCAAGAAATTAGGATTTTGATGTGAAAAACTGCTTATCTTACTGAGTCGTGATGTCTACAATGACCTTTAAGAATGTGCTAGCATTTTGGAGAATGTTGCAAGAAATTGTGGTTTAGATATTCAAACCTGCTTCTCTCAATGATTTGTGCATTTTAGTAACAGTTCAAGAGACTTTAAGAAGCATTGCAAGAAATCAAGGTTTAGACGCAGAAGTTTGCTTATCTTATCACATTAGAAACATCTACAACAGCTTTTAAGAATATGTCAGCACTAATTGAGTTGACAGCTATAAATGGTGACTTGACGTGCAAATATGCTTTTCTCACCAATTTTATGCACTTTAGTAGCATATACAACAGGTTTTAAGACATTTCCTAGGAATCAAGATTTTGATCTGCAAAGATGCTCATATCACCAAGTTATGAACTTTAGTAACATCCAGAACAGTTTTCAAGAATACGCCAGCATTTTAGAGAAATTTGCTGGAAATGGTGATATTGTAGTTCAAATTTGATTATCTCATAGAGATGTGCACTTTAGTGACATCTAAATCAGATTTCAAGAGCTTTGCTAGAAATGACTATGTATATAAGTTTTTTTATGAATAAAATATATTTTTGAAATTAAAAAGTGGTTCTTACATGAAGACTCTTAACTGAGAGCCTTCATCGTCATTGTCATAAGATTGCAAGATTTTCACTGGATCGTAATTGCGAGTGGACATTGGAGTGAGTTGGTGGTTGAGCTGATCTGCTATTGGAGGATATTTATGTTGTCTTCAGATTGAAGCCAATTCAGTGTCCAGCCGACCAGAACTATGGCCTCTCTGAGCGCCACAGGCCAGGGTATCCACTGTCAGGGTGACTGTGAAGACAATGGGTCGCCTTTCGACTGTGAAGTAGCTCCATGAAGGCTGATGTCTCGTCACCAAGTCACCCTTTATCTGCATGTGGACAGTACATGACACTGACCCAGCTAGCACACAACCAGCTCCTAGAGTGAACAGAACCCCTGATACTCCTGTTTATATCTGTCCGCCAGGACTCCCTGATTGGGGCTGTTACTCTGGCCCAATCAGGGAACTAATATTCTATGAGATCCACCAGGCTGACCTCATTCCAATCACTACAAACTGGACCTTCCTCGTGAAGACAGTCCTCCTGAATTCCTGCGGAACTTCTGGCTGCAGGATTTTCTCACTGGGTGTACTTCGACATGACCTTCAGGAATGTGAGGCAATGTGAACTTCTGCTCAAGATATTCGAAGAGAAAGGAGGTGAGGGTCCCCTCTCCGTCCTGTCTGCAGCACCATTGTTCTTTGTCCCTCTGAAGAGGAGCCGTGTTCTGAACTGTCCACAAGTACAACCCTTACATTCCAGCAGCAGATGTCATGAATTTCCTGGGAAGGTTCTTACACCTTGAAGGGAGGCAGCACCAACGTGGTCGGAATCTGGACCAGCAAGCGGCAGCTGAAGGTTACCCTGAAGGTGAACACTAGCAGGAAAATCGTCCACCTGCCCTCCAGCTACACAACTTGGGGCAGCCAAGGTTATACACAGGTTAGCCTAGATTGTGCCAAACCTGTGGGAGGTCAGACTGCAAAGTGACCCTCTGCAGGAATTGCAAACAGGGGGAGCACCTGACTAAGGGCTTCAAAGAGTCCAAGAGCTGCAAGCTGTGTGGGAAACAGGCTATCTGTAAAAGGCATCTCAAGATAGGAGGGTTGTGGTACCACATATGCTCAGCTGGCCGGAATTGGCAATGCAAGCTGTGGACCCCCAAAGGACAGTAAGATGCCTCCAAGCTAATCTTCCAAACCAGAGTCCACATCGTGGAGTAGAATGAGATGTGCTCGCAATTTTTCTTTCAGAAGGTGCACAGGGAGAGCTCTGTGGAATGGTCTTACGGAGAAAAATGGCTTGGTAACATCATCTCAGTCTGACATCCTGAGGATCAGCAAATCCTTTTATGCCAGACTGTATGACATAAAACCCACAGACTGCATGGCCTCCAAATCATTTCCTGTCCTCTATCATGAAGGTCTTAGACAGCAGCATGTGGCAAAGAGGCTGGACCAGCTGTTATTTCTGGATGACCTGACAAAGGCCCTTGAGTTCTTCAAAAAGAATAAAACTCCTGGAAGTGATGGCTGATCAGCCAATTGTATTCATCTCTGTGGGATTTGATAGGCCAGGACTTGCTGAAGGTGCTGACTGCTGAATGGAGTCTACAAAATAGTCTTTAAGGTCATCACCAACCAGATGAGATCTGCTCTGGAATTGGTGATTCACCCTGACCAAACCTGTGCTGTACCAGGCAGAATGATCTCTGAGAGTCTTGCACTCCTCAGAGATATGATTGCCCATGTGCAGGACAAGGAGTTGGATGCCTCCCTCATAAGCCTGGACCAGGAGAAGGCCTTTGACAGGATATTGCTGAACTACATGTGAGACAGGCTGTCCAAAATGGGCTTTGGGGAGGGAATCTGCAATTGTATCTGACTGCTCTACACCAACATCACCAGTGCAGTCTCAACCAATGGATGGGAATAAGCAAGATTCTCAATCAGATGCAGAGTAAAGCAGGGTTGCCCACTTTCTCACTTGTGTGTTGTATAGATGATTTCGCTGAGTCCATCAGGAAGGATGTGAGCCTGAGGTGGGTGACTATTCCAGGCAGTAGAGGCCTGCAGGTTGAAGCCTTCCTGTACATGGATGATGTCACCATTTTCTGCTTGGATCCGCAGTGCACAGACTCATGAACATCTGTGACCAATTCGCGCTGGCCTTGGGAACAAGGTAAATCAAAGCAAGGGTGAAGCTCTCTTCTTAAGAAACTGGACCAACTGATTCTTTACTTCTTCACAGTCAGGAGAGATTACCTGAAGGTGCTGGGAATATAGTTCGGAGGAGCCAGGGCATGTGCAAAACCTTGGGAGAAAGGTATCCCCAAGGTAAGGCAGCCACAGGGCCTTTAGGGGAGGCAATAGCCTTGTGGTATTATCGCTGGTCTGTTAATCCAGAGACCCAGATAATGATATGGGGACCCGGGTTTGAATCCCACAATGGCAGATGTTGGAATTTGAATTCAATAAATATGTGGAATTATGAATCTAATGATGACCATGAATCCATTGTCAAATTGTCGGAAAAACCCATCTGGTTCACTAATGCCTTTTAGGGAAGGGAACTACCATCCTTACCTGGTCTGGTCTACATGTGTCTCCAGATCTACAGCAATGTGGTTGACTCTTAACTGCCCGATGGCCAATTAGGGATGGGCAACAAGTACTGCCTAGCCAGCGATGCCCTCATCCCGTGAATGAATAAAAAAGAAAAACACTCCCTCTCTACTGTTGGTAAAAATAAAACTTGGTCATCAGGTGTGGGTACGTTCTCTGTTATTGTACATGGAGCAGGCCTGGCCCATTCCCAGAACCTGTGCCATTGCAGTTGCCCGAGCCATCTTCCATTTTATCTGGAGGACAAAGATGAAGGAACACAGTGTATAATTTCTGGATAAAGAAGTGGGGGTGGTGGAAGAATGTATACAATGCTGCCCTCATCCTGATGGCCACATTTCTATGTAGCTGCATCAAGATGTGTGTAGTTCCCCAGTATGCAAACACCAAAGGTCCTTATGAACTGAAGTTCTACCTGCCCCTTTTGTTGTGAAGGATAGGACTGGTCTCATTGCAATGGAATGTTTTAAGTAGTTGGACCATGCAGTAACACCTGTCATTTGGGGAGATATTTGCAAAGAAAAATACCATTGACCACAAGTCCATCAGGAAGTGGTCAACACGCACAGTCCTTGAGAACCTGCAAGCAAAGGAGATTGTGGATCCTGTTGGGTTGTTCCAAGTGTACAATCAAAGTCAGAATGCCTCATCACCAGAACTTTCCAACAAGCATCAGGACATTGCTTGGCTGGTAGTGATAAGCACACCACCTATGAGAGCCATCGTGTACGGCCAGACTCTCTGCTGCATCGCAAACTGCCTCCAAAGCAGATAGAGACCTGCTAGAATGTGCCTATGCACAGGAAGTCAAGAGAAAGATGCAATGGTTTTTGTTGAGGTTTGTCCCAAGGAGCTCCATGGCGCAGGACTCTGTGCTTTATGGTCTGTTCCCTGGGACGCCAACCGAGACATATATCAAATATGTCTGGAGGACCATCAACTCAGTGACAAATGCTCTTTGGTCTGCCCGAAACTTATTAGCTCTCCAGTGCAAGGAGTTGACATCAACTGAGTGCTGCATACTGGCACATTCGAAGATCCAGGACTACGTGCTGAGGGATGCACTAATGCTTTGGGCAGCCGCCATCAAGGCCCGATGGGGAAAGACGACTGTCAAAGGTCTTTCTGCTGAAGTACAATGGAGATGCGTTCAGTTATCAGGCCCTCCTGGTGCATGTAAATCTAATCTTGTATAAGTAAGAAATGCCTTGTGTTTTTTGTCCTACAGACAATGTATAGGATCAAACTGATCTAGCAACTATAAAGATTTTTATGAATAAAGTGTACTTTTGAAATAAAAGAAGATCTCTCAGGATGAGGGCATCCTACTTCAGGGGTGCTGACACCTGCAATGTCCCCAAATGTGGGATACATGACTACAACATTTGTGGCAGTGGCTGACGGCATTCATGCTCCCCTGATTTACAAACGAAATCCAAGTCGTTCTTCAATTGCCCAGTGGATGGACTCTGTGAGGGAGTTAGTGAGCTTTTCCCATTTTACCACTGGCAGTCCCATGTTTATTGATCATTATTTCTCTTACTCCACATATACCACTCCAATTATCGCACCTTTCACATTTCTCCATACTGTAGTAATTGCCATGTGATTATTCCTACCCTGAATCATTCCTACACTGATCTGCAATTTCCCCTGCATGTATGATTTTCTCTCTGCTGGTATTTCTTTCCTATAAATTCAACTTCTGCATTTTTGCTGCTGAATTTGCCCACTCAAATAGTTTTTTTTCAAGTTCCTGTTTTGTTTTTAAAAATAAGGCAGGCACCACTTAGGTCTGAGATCTGAAGAAGTATTTACTAAAATAAAAACAAAATACTGTGTGTGCTGGAAATCAAATAACAGAAACTGGTGGAAAACCTCAGCTGATCTGGCAGCATCTGTGGAGTGAAAAGTAGAGATAATGTTTTGAATCCAGCACGACGACTTCAAAACTGAAAGACATTTGGAGTAAGAGATAACAAAGTGTGGAGCTGGAGGAACACAGCAGGTCAGGCAGCATCAGAGGAGCAGGAAAGCTGATGTTTCGGGTCGGGACCCTTCTTCAGAAATGGGGGAGGGGGAAGGCAGCTCTGAAATAAATAGAGAGAGGAGGGGTGGGGCTGGGGATGGTAGGTGGGATGGTGATAGGTGAGTGCATGTAGGCAGTGGTGAGGATTGGTCAGTGAGTTGGGACGAGCAGATAGGTGGGAGAGAAGACAGATAGGTCAAGGAGGCAGGGATGAGAGGGAGGGTTGGTCATGGGATAAGGCCGGGGGTGGGGAGATTTTGAAACTAGCAAAGTCCACATTGAGACCATTGGATTGTAGGCTCCCAAGGCAGAATATGAGGTGTTGCTCCTCCAGTTTCCGGGTGGTGTCATGATGACACTGGAAAAGGCCCAGGGTGGACATGTCATTCAGGGAGTGGGAGGGGGAATTGAAGTGGTTCGCGACTGGGAGGTGTTGTCATTTGTCGCGAACAGAGCGCAGGTGCTCTACAAAGCGGTCTCTAGGCCGCCGCTTGGTCTCACCGATGTAGAGGAGGCCACATTGGGAGCAGCGGATGCAGTATACCACATTAACGGATGTGCAGGTGAACATCTGTCTGATGTGGAAGGTGTTTTTGGTTCCTTGGATGGAGGTGAGGGGGGAGGTGTAGGGGCAGGTGTAACACTTCCTGTGGTTGCAGGGGAAGGTGCCAGGGGTGGTGGGGCTAGTGGGGAGTCTGAAGCAGACGAGGGAGACGCGGAGAGAGCGGTCCCAAATATATCCTTGGTTGGGGGGTCAGATTGCAGGTGGTGGAAGTGGCAGAGAATGATACGTTGAATTCAGAGGTTAGTGGGGTGATATGTGAGGACAAGGGGATTCTGTCTGCCAACTGCAGTCTGACTCCTCTCATCCCCACCTCCTTGACCTGACACAACCTGTCCGTCTTCTCTCCCACCTATCCACTCCTCCCACCTCACTGACCAATCTCCACCACTGCCTATCTGCACTCACCTATCACCATCCCGCCTACCTTCCCCAGTCCCACCCCTCTATTTATTTCAGAGCTCCCTTCCCCCTCCTCCATTTCTGAAGAAGCGTTCCAACCCAAAATGTCAGCTTTCCTGCTCCTCTGATGCTGCCTGACTTGCTTGTTCCTCCAGCTCCAAACTGTGTTATCTCTGACTCCAGCATCGGCAGTTTTTACTATCTCTAAGATGTTGGGAAATGGATTTTTATTTTATGTGGATAAGGACAGAGGACAGGCTATGGTTGGTGTAGAGGCCCAGTGCAAAAAGACCAGGCAATTGTTTGTGGTGCACATGTGAGCAGAGTGTGACATTATCCGTCTTGTATTTAAAGTGATACAAAGACACAGAGTGTGAGAGAGGAAAGGCTATCAGCCTTTGATTCGTCACATTTTAATTCATTCAAAATGTGTCCCATTGCAGGCACAGGATACAGAGCTGATCTCACACACACACACACACACA